ATATATACGTCTTCTCTTGGTAATGAAATGAGGACAGATCAACTGATTTATATCTTTTCCTTGTGATAAAATGGAGTGGACACAGAACCACTTGAAATGATAATATTATTAGGGTTAAATATATTTTTAATTTTTTAAATATAAAGTAAACTTGTTTTTAGTTCTTTTAATTTAAAATTATTTTTTAATTTGAAAATAATTTATATTTCTATTTCTATACTTAAAATATTGTTGGTGAAACTTTCAAACAAAACTCACATGTTACTAAATTATTATACAAAATTTAAATATTAGTATTCGTATTAGTAAAAATATCATATATTAAATTTAATCATTATTATAAAATTTAACTAAATTTATCATTAATTCTCGAAGATTAATTTTAAATTTGAGTAACCAAAACTAAACTTATTCCAAATTTAAAAAATTAAAAAATATATTTAAATATAATTATTATGTGAGTACATAATGTAAACCTTCTTAAAAACTTATTTCACTTTCAAAAATAAATTCATAAAATTAACCATTAACTTTAGGTGATATTATATGATTATTTATATCAAATTGAAGACAAATTAATCAACCATAAAGATATAATGTTTAATTAATAAAACTTAATCTTAATCATTAAATCTTATGTTAATTAAGAATGTGAGACTTAATCTTTTCGTGATTAGGGAACACGTATCCAAAAACAGTATAAACGTTCTTTTCGTGATTTTTGCCATCAGGTGACTGGGATCAAAATCCTCTGTCTCAAACCCCTGTCCCCAAATCCTGTCCCTCCAATCATAAAATGCCATCTCAATTAAATTGTCACGTCATTGCAGTTATTTTTTATTTTTATTTTTAAAAAGTGTAACCAAATTTTGCTCCCAGAAGTTCAACAACCCGTCGGAGGAACCGCAGTATCCCCCCGCCGCCGAACGGTTCACCGCCAGCGCCGTCACGGCGTTCTCTTGCTTCAACAAAACACGATCGAACACGTGCGGGGGGTTTCGTTTCGGCGGCGTCGGAGGGCGGGAAGAGACGGAGGCTGTCCGATCCGGAGGCCTTGTCGTGGGCGACGGCAGAGGGAGCGCGGCGGCGGCGGTGGAGGAGGAAGAAGGCTACATTTGTGACGCGGGAGTGGTGGCAGCGGGTTGAGCTCCGGCGAGTCGTTGAGTTTGAGATACGGTGGCCGGAAATCGTCGTCGTCGTGGCTGGGGCGAGCCCGCAGTGGAACCTGACCCTGTTCCTCATCACGTACGACGAGCATGGTGGGTTCTTCGATCAAGTGCCCACGCCTATGCGTGGGGTGCATAGCCCTGATGGATCAGTTACATTTTTTTTAAAATAAAATTAAAATTAAAAATAATGATGTGGCAATTTAATTGAGATGACAATTTATGATTGGGGGACAGGGTTTAGAGCCAGGAATTGGAGACAGAAGATTTTCATCCCAGGTGACTGATACCTTTATTATATGTAAACATTCTATTGTAGCCAGTAACCGATCTGCGCAGGTTCTTCAATTCTAGGTAGCAGTACGTAACAAAATCTCTAGCCTCTGGAGATGCAAATACGGTCTGATTTGTACGAAACCTAAGTACTAGATTGAATTTTCTCATGCAAAAGTAGTTATACGAAACTGCCAAAAAAAATAATAATTCAAGTCCATAAATGAAGTCAAAAAGAGGGGAATTAGGTATTTCATGTTGTGATATATAATAAAAGTACGTGTATAATAAGTAAGATATGATATAATTTGTGTGGAAAAATTTCTTCATAAATATTTTTTAGGAGAGAAAAATAATAAAAAAAAATTATAGCAAGTTTCTTTATATATAAGTTAAAACTAACTTATTCTTAAATTAAAAATAATACTTTAAATAAGTTAATTAGCTAGAGAGAATTTTTATAAATTAACTTATATATAAACTAATTTTAATTTATGTGTAAACTAATTTTATTTTTTCTTTTAATGGTGTTTCTTGATAAGTTTATTAAACAAACCATAGTAACAAACTGAGAAGCACGTGTTATTGTGAGAATGACAGCCTGGGAAAGCTGGCAAGAAAGCGACATATATATTATCTGTCTCACACCAATCGATCACTTGTGATTCAACAAAGAACCACATGGAGGTACAATTCTCATGCAAAAATAACAACCCATGTTTTATATGTCACTTTTTTGGTTTATTATTATTTCACGTACGTAAAAGAAACTATAGTGACAATTCTATTTCTAAGTAATGTACCAAAAGAAAATTCTATTTCTAAGTAGTTGTTTTTCAACAAACCGGATCCCATCTGTCATCGGTTATAATACATGAAAAGAGGAAGTGTCTGGTCTGGCCATTCTTGGTTTGGTTTTTCACTGATACTTTGGTTAATTTGTTTGTTACCATCATATAGAATAGAGGGAATGTTTTGGTTGAATATATATTTGTATACTTTTGTATGGGGATTAAACTTTGTAATGCTAGCTATTTTAGGGTAAAAGTTGTAATGTTTTACCAATTAAAGTTATTGATTTTAGTATTTAATGCACCGACCACAATAATTCTTTTTACTTTTTTTATAAGTAAAATCAAATTAATCAGACTACTTACTAGGAGTACTTCATCAATATCACTTTATAGCATGCCAAAGAATCATCTAATATTTTTTTCTTATCTTTTCTTTTATCAACTCACTATATATATTGTAGATAATGTGATTTACCATAATCAAAGAATTAGAGATGAAAGTAGAAAAATCAATCTAACCATATAAAGATCTCCAAACTTATATAGCAACAAAACAAGAAAAGAACAAGTGATTACCAATTTCCTCAAATAGATTGCAAAATATGCTTTTAACTTCCAACACATCTTGAATGACACCTCTTCCAACCAAGGCAAAGCATGAGGGTAACTTGTCAAGTAGCAACCTCCATAAAAACAACAAAACCTTCGAAGGGTTCAACGTATGCCAAAACTTGTTGAATATTCTGGTTGATAAGTTGTGGCTCCTTTAGACATTTGTTCATGAACCAGAAAGGTATGTGCAAATTCTACAGAAAAAAAAATGATATTTATCAAGCTTCCAATTTCATTCATTAGCCTTATCTCTTACAAGCGAAATAGAAGGCAATAAATTTGAGAAATCCAATTAGATTTCTTGCTCCTAGAAAAAGAAATTCCCTCATCCACTTCCATTTTTAGCACCACAAATTTCATTTATCCATTCCCAAAAGTTGGCAACAAAGGCTTCCTTCTCATTAAAGATTTTATATAACCTAAAATAAGCATCTTTCAAACACTAGTAGAAAATCAGTCTTTTACGTTAGCGTTTTCTCGTCGATTATAAAAATACCTAACGTAAAAAATACGCGATGGATATGAAGTATAGTAGATTTTAATTTTTACGTCGGACCCCTTTTGGCCTGACGTAAAAAAGTTGTTTTATTCCCCCCAACACCTTCGTCTTTTTCGTATGCGCAAGTGTTTTTCCATTGTTTTCCTCTAGCGATTTTCGACAAAAATGGTATGAGACCTTTGGGTGTTTTCTGGTCACAGTGAGCAACGACGACAATGGTGAGCGGCAACGACAACGGCTACTAAACCCATTTTTGATTCTGAACCTATCTCTCCAATTTGGGTTGAAGCATTTAGGCGTTTTCATGGATTAAGATTAGTGTTTTCATGCGTGTATTGATCTTTCTATGTAAAAATGTTGTTTCATTCCTGCATGCGAGTGTTTTGACACTATTTTTCTCTCTCGCAATTTTTGGCGACAGTAGTGCGAGACGTTTCGGTGTTTTCCATTCACGATGCACGGCGGCAAGACCCATTTTTTATTTTGGAGCTATCTCTCCGATTGGATTGAAGCATTTGGGTATTTTTCGGACGTGTTCACGAATTGAGGTTATTTTTTTGTTTGTTTGTCAACTATTTTACGTCGGACATGGAGGATGTTCGACGTAATTTTACGTCGACTAAAACACTCGACGTAAATTTACATCTCTCGCATTGACGTCGAACTTTTTTTCAACGTAAAAAGTCCAAAATAACAGACGTAAAATGTCTCTTTTGTACTAGTGAAAGGAATTGTACCAATCCAAACATCATGTCAAAAACTTCCATCTCTCACCTTTCTAGCAAAAGTTGAAGAAAACCAACAAGAAGCCACACACTTGTTGTGCACAAAACAAATAT